TTTGCCAGTGCCTTTTCTCTCTCTTCTTTTTTCTTGCCATGGAAGAGACAGATTGCTCTTGCCAGATAATTTCCTCTGCATGTGATCAATTCAGTCAAGTGAACAAGTGCATCAGAAAAGACCCAGGACCACATGCAAGCAGAAGACATCCTGCTTTAACACTTACAAGCATCTCTGGCCTGGATGGTAGCATCCATTCTAGTTTCTGACTCCTAGCGGAACAGAGCACTTCAGAGCAAGCTGCCCCAGCTGGTCGAGGGCCTCTGGGATATGATCAGTCAAGCTCCCAGGGAGCGAGCGACCAGGAGTTGGCCGGAGGAGGAGTTGTAGTGGAAGAGGAGACAGAAGCAGGTAGAGGCGAGGCGAGGCAAGCAAAGCAGAGACAGACCTGTACTAGCCCAGCTTAAAGTTTTTTGTTTTCTAAGAGAGAGTTGAAGGGAAGTTCTGGATTAACTGCTTGCTGATTAACTGAAAGGGAGTGGCCTGATCAGCTAGCAGCAGTTATGTGGGTGGGGTGATTCATTTGGGTTCCTGACTCCTAGCAGAGCACTTCAGAGCAAGCTGCCCCAGCTGGTCTAGGGCCTCTGGCTATAACCAGTCAAGCTCCCAGGGAGAGCAAATGGGTTTGATGGACAAGTTTGTTGAGGGAGTTCAAGGGCGGAGTTCCTCTGGGGGAAAGTGACCATGCAATACTTGGATTCTCTATTATAAAGAAGTCAAAGGATAACTGGAGCCAAACAAGCATCCTGAACTTCAAGAAAGTCAACTTTAATGAACTCAGAAAAATGATAAGTGAATTGCCATGGCAATGCACCTGTAAGAGGAAAGGTGCCCAAGAGGGGTGGATGAAAAAGAACATTCTCCAAGTGCAACTATGAACAATTTCATCAAGAAAAAAGTGTAGAAGACCACAAAAGACATGGCTCCACAAAAAGTTAGGTGGCATCCTGAAAGGAAAAAGAACATGTGCCGGAAGTGGAAGCAGGGCCAGGCCATGAAGGAAGAATATAAACAAATAGCAAGGAATTTCAGGAATAGCATCAGGAAGGCTAAAGCAGGGAATGAACTGGGAATAGCAAGGGATGCTAAGCACAATAAGAAAGCCTTCTTCAGATACATCTAGAACAAAAGACTTGAGAAAGAGAAGGGTGTCCAGCTACTTAAAGTGGATGGCAGAGTGATAACAGATGACAAAGAAAAGGCAGAGGTGCTCACTTCCTACTTTGCTTCAGTCTCCTCTCACAAGGAAAATTGCAATCAAGAAGAAGTGCATGCTGGAAATGAGAGATAGCAGCCCAAGACTGACAGACAAATGCTCAAGGAATACCTAGGTGGAATAAACACTTTTATTTAATACCTAGGTGGAATAAATATCCAGAGCCTGATGAACTCTACCCTGGAGACATCCTAGAGCTAGCGGAGGAACTCTCAAAACCACTGGCTATTATCTTCAATAAATCTTGGAAAATGGAAGAAGTACCAGATGACTGGAGAAGGGCTAATGTTGTCCCTTTCTTCAGAAAGAGGGGAAAAAATGAACCTGGGAACTATAGAACAGTTAGTCTGACATCAATCCCTGGAAACATTCAGGAGAAAATTATTTAAAAATCCATCTGGAAGCATCTTGAAGAAAATGCAGTGATTAATCGAAGCCAGGATGGATTTATCAAATATAAATCCTCTCAGACTAATTTAATCTCATTTTTTGACTGGGTAACATCCCAAATGGACAAAGGGAACATTGTAGACATAATCTACCTAGACTTTAGCAAAGCTTTTGACATTGTGCCACACGATATTCTGGTAACCAAATTAACAACAACTGGGCTAGATGGAAAAACTATTAGGTGGATCCAAAATTGGCTGCTAAATTGGACACATCAATGGCACCTTCTCAAATTGGATGAACGTAATAGTGGGGTGCACAGGATTCGGTTCTGGGCCCCGTGATCTTCAACATCTGTATTAATGATTTAGATGAGGAAGTGCAAGGAAAGATAATCAGATTTGCAGACAATACAAAACTGTGTGGAATAGCAAACACGGTAAAAGACAGAATGAACATCCAGGGCAATCTTGATAAACTCAAACAACAAGGACAAATGCCAAGTTCTCCACCTAGGAAAACGAAACCAAGTGCATCGGTAAAAGATGGGGAATATGTGGCTCAACAGAACTGGAAAAGAAAAAGATTTCAGAGTAATTGTGGAGAATAGGCTAAATATGAGCCAACAATGCAATGCAGCTGCCAAAAGGGAAATGCTATTTCGGGATGCATTAACAGAAATATTACTTCCAAATCACGAGAAGTAGTAGTTCCTCTATACTCCTCACTAGTCAGACCCCACCTGGAATACTGTGCCCACTCCTGGGCACCAAGATTTAAGAAAGATGCAGGAAAATTAGAAACGGTCCAGAGGAGGGCAACAAAAATGATCCAAGGTTTGGAAACACTGCCTTATGAAGAGAGACTGAGAGAACCAGGCATATTCAGCCTTGAGAAGAGAAGACTGAGGGGGAACATGATATCCCTCAAAGGCTGTCACAAAGAGGAAGGTCAAGATCTCTTCTTGCTGATGCCAGAGTGTAGGACACAGAATAATCAGTTCAGGTTGTGACAACCCAAATTCAGGCTAGACATCAGGAAAAGTTTCCTCACTGTCAGAGCAATACAACCGCGGAACTAGCTGCCTAGAGAGGTGGTGGGCTCTCCCACACTAGAGACATTCAAAAAGAAACTGGACAGCCATCTGAGTGGGGTAGTATAACTTGGTGTCCTGCAACAGCAGGGGGGTGGACCTGATGGCCTTCATGGCCCCTTCCAACTCTACTATTCTATGATTCTATGATTTATGGACCTTCTTAGGAACAACTCTACAGAAAAGGCCCTTTCTCTCAAAGCCATTTGCTAAACCTCACGCCTTTGATCATGATCTCTGGGAGTGGATACATGTGGAAAAAGGAAATAGTTGCGGCCAGCACTTTGAATCTGGCCTGGAAATGGTCTGGAAGCCAATGGATAACCATATCTGTACTGGCAAAACTAGCAGGGCAGGAGCTGCTGGCTGGGTCAGGGAGGTGGTTAATACCTCTTTATGAGAAGGAGTGTTCCCTTGCCTTGGCTTGACATTTTTGTATGGTAAACTTTTTATGATGCTGAAATGTTGTCTGTATTTTATACTATTATTATAAACCACCCAAAGAGCTTCAGCTACTGGGGAGTATTAAAATTAATTACATTGAAATTTCCTAATCATTTTCAAAGGCAGCTCCACATGCAACCCATTGCTGTAATCTGAACAGGATATGGATGACCATGGCACCCTCCTCAATCATCTTACCAAGCTAGAGCTTTGGAGGCGCTGTGCTAATATGGCTCCGGCCCTTTTGAAAGTGGCAGAAGATGCTTTAGAAGACGGTTTGTGGGAACTACTGTTCTACCACTTGGTTGCTGGCCTTTGGGGTGCTGTAGGGTTCCCAAGATTTTTAAAATCAACATGAAATTACTGGGGGGCGGGGATGTTTGAGCTCAAGCATTACCATATTCAGGCAACACACCTTTCCATCTATTAGTCCCAGGAGGGTAGAGAAATACTTAAGCAACATAGGTGTTACCTGTAGAGGCACCGGCTGCTTAAGTGGCTGTTGTGCCTTTTAGCAGCAAGTTGATTCACCAACTGCAGCCTTAACCAGAAAAAAGATACCTGCCCCAGACACTGGCTATGATCTACACTAGAGTACTGCAATCCTTGTATATATGCCCTACTTTCAAGCCCAACCATTCAACAGGTTTGGGGCTGCAAGGGAAGGGCTCTTTCAGCCCGAAGTCACACACTTGTAGAATTCGCTCCCATAAAAAGTCTGTGTGGTTCCTTCTCCTATTGCCATTTGTAGTCCCTAAATACATTTTTCCCAGCGTTCTTTTTATTGATCTTATTGTCAGACCTTTATAAATGTTTTTAACATGATAGCTTTGCATTAAATTAGTTCAACAGCTTTGTTTTTAATGTATTTAAAATAATTATAATTTAATTTAAGACATTTATATGCCATCCTTTGCAGTGTTTTTAATGTATTTTCTGGTAAACTCTTTTATGAAGGGTTACCATATAATAGATGAAAACAAATGGTTTCTGTCACAATTTCAAGAATCCCTACATCAGTCCCTAATACACATTTCTCAAAACAGGAGAAAGGGCACCAGCAATAACCTGGTCTGAAGACAGTGACCTGGATCACATGACATGATAGCCTGCCAAGGGTTAATTTACCCTCTCCTCAAGGAGCAGTGGAGTGTGCAGGTTGCCAGCATGAGTATACAACCCCCAAGTGGGTTGCCATGACTTCTGGTGAATGAAAACCTGGCCAGGAACATTCTTGTCAGCAAATGGTTATTTGAGGATTAAACAAGCCTTACGTAACTCACTGTGTATTGTAAGGTTATCTGTGGGCAGCTAAACCTTCAAATCACCTGTTCTGGCTGAGTTCACAAGACACAACACACTGGAATTTGTGTATTCGTAATCGTTGCTGGCATGTACTACAGTTCCTTAAGGATAAATTAACCCTCAGTCATGCAAACTACTCCAGTCCTTAGTGCTGAAACAGCAAGAGGTTATTAGGACCAGTAATGTCTGATGGAATGAATACATACCAACTTATGGTTGATAATGTGCACCTGGAAACCAGTTCTATAGCATCCTGCCTTCATTATAAGCAGCCCTATGTGTCCAGTAGAGATCATGAATTCGATGCTTTGGAAAATCTAAGGAACAATCGATCAGGCAAATTGTGCAGAGACAGCACTGACCTTACATGCAAGGAACCCGACATTTGGGAATTCTCAGATGGCAGCAAAATTAGAAACAAGACTCTCTCAAACATTTCAGGAAGACTTTGGTTAGAGAAAGGTCGGGATAACCATCAGAGTATTGGTGGTAATCAGGGGATGAAAGCAGACATGAGGGACTTCGTATAACAGCTGTTCAAGGGATTTGTACCTGGATGGATGGGTGCAAGGGGCGTTTCCCCTCAAGCAGCGCTGACCACTTGGCCAGCAGTTCTGGCTGATCCTGAGAGACGGAGCAAAGAAAACAAATAGAAGACAGGCAGAAAAAGCAGTTAGTAAAGTAGCTTAAATGCAGTTAGTGTTATAGCAAATTGCTAAATAGGGTGAGATTCAAGAAGGTAATAGCCTGGAGATGGAACTTTCTGTAGTCTGAAGAGGAAAGTTTTTCAAAACACCCTAAAAATGAAGCAACACACATTGCCCAAACCTGCCTGGTTCAATTCTTCTGGAAACAAGGATACTGCTTTGAGCTGGTATCCATAGGTGAACTTCGTTCCCTAGGCAGGTTCCACGTCTTCCCCACTTCCTCTCCTAGTACCACCTGTCTGCGGGACATATAAAGAGGAGTCCAGTGGAGATGAAGAGCAGGCGCAGCACAGCCATCTCCACACCCTTCTTTGACGAGCAGTTTGTGATGGCCACCTGAAACATCACCAACATCTCCCATTTATTGAAGTGTTATTGCAAGTCCCCCCCTCCGCCCCCCGCAAAACTTCATTCTGGAAACACAGAAATCCACCTCTGGAACCAAAGTGAGAACCAATGTGCAATGTTTAAAGTGTGGTGATTGGGTTCCTTTTGATGCTGGTAAGGTTCAGGTGAGCAAGGGGGTAAAGGAGGGGGATGAGAGTGTGCAGTGACTGACAGTGTGTGGGTGGAGCTTGGAGGTGTGTGCAGAGTATTTGTGAAGGGGGAGAGTGAAATGCCTTGGGCAGAAGTTATTGTACGCTGTTCTACTAAGGAAAGAAGTTACTGAGCATCTTGAAACCAGTATGCTGATCGTACAATTAAAGTTTTATTTTGTTTATTGTTAATTCAGTATTATAGGTTGTTTGAATATCAGCATCTCATCCATATAGTCCAGTGAGGGAGCCTTAAAGCTTGGGCACAAGACTATGAGAGAAGTTAATTAATAAGATTGGAATTAAATTCCTGGTGGTCATGCTACATGCACAGAGAAAGAGAGGGAAATATCAAGAACTTAAAAGTGCACCATATCTGAACAAAATGTAAGAGAGTTCTCGTGATGCAAGCACTGGTGGAAAGCAGTGGACATGGAACCACTATTTCTTGGCTTCTCTTCACTCATGGCCTGGGTCTAGGGATCTTCTGCTACCTGTATTGACACCTGGGTTGGTCCAGTGATCAGCACTCTTCCAATGTGGCATGTGGGAAACAGGGTGTGGAATCAGTATGTGTGGTGCCCTAGCCCTAACACGCCCAGTGCCAATAAGGAGCGCTTGCATCCATATATGCCCAGCCGCCCCTTGAGGTCGGCGGGAGAGGCCCTTCTCCGGGAACCCTCCGTGAAAGAAATTAGGAGGGTGGGGACTCGGGGAGGGCTTTCTCTGCGGTGGCGCCTAAGTTATGGAACGCGCTCCCCAGAGAGGTCTGCCTGGCGCCGTCGTTATTTGTTTTTCGGCGCTAGGAGAAGACCTTTTTATTCAAGCGGCATTTTAACTGTTAATATTATTGGATTTTATCTGGCCAGGGCGGCTTATTTTATACTGTAGTTTTGTATTTTTAATTTAATATTTATATTTTCGATTTATATTATAATTATTTTAGCTTAGTGTTGTAAGCCGCCCCAAGGCTTCGGCGAATGGGGTGGCATAAAAATGTTTTAAGAAATAAATAAATAAAAATAAATAATTCCACCAGTCCCTCAACCCATCCTCTCTACTGCTACATGTAATGTATGCATCAAAACCTAGATATCCAGGGAACAGTTTCACACTGCTGCATCCTGCTCAAAGTCATCACTTGCAGTGACTTAGCAATAAGGTAAGTATTTAGCAGTAAAGACTACAGGTCACTTTGAGCTCCTTGGACAAAAGATGGAATATAAATGTATTAAATGTGAATGAATGAATGGCAAGCCTTTCTAGGAAGCTTAGCTGTTTAGCTGCATACATTTATTCAGCTGCAAATATGAAACTTTGCTCACTAACATATGAAATATGAAGAGGTACCTACTCTTTTACTTGTGGTTCCAGTATTGCTAAAAAGATTGTTGTGGGAGTTTTGGCTACCCTTGGCAAACAGGATAAGGACTCTCATAAAGCCATTGAACTGCAAAACTAGAAGGAATCTTGAAGACTGTCCATTCTAATTCTTCCTGATCTGAAAATCATTTTTCATAACCCCAAAAGTATCTTGGAAGAAATTAGCCATCTCGAATTACAGGCAGAAACTTTCTAAAGTCTACCATAATGTCATGCTCTCCAGAATACCTGGACATGTTAGAAAGGGAAATGGCATTTGGCAATTGCCTCTGATACAAGCAAATGAGTAAAGGGGCTACCTGAGAATGCTTTCTGTTGGTGGATAGAATTTCAGTCATTCCTTTTATTATGCCCCTCCCATTATTTTAAGCATGGTCAGAAATTTATATACAACCAGTCATCCCTACAGAAATAGGAATTAGTTATAAGTAATCCTGTACATGGTTCAGTAATATCACTGCAGCTAGAGTGCACTGGGCTTTGATTCCTGCTATGCTGATACCTTTGATTATCACTGGTGGCCTAATATTGGTGATCAATGTATACCTCTGAAGGTGCTTTAATGCCTATTTGGAGGTTATTGAGGGTTTTGACCACCAAAGCTTGCCAGGAAATCACTGGATCTGGGTAGGACTGCCCCCAGTTGTGAGCCAATGAACTGTCAGTTGTAGGATCTGCCTGTGCAGCTTAGTATTCTCGGGACCTGCTTCAAGGAGGTCAAACAAAGTGGGCTTCCTGTTTCGGTTAACCTGACTTGATGAACAAGCTCTTCCTAAGCTCTGGTGTGTTCTTGCATCCTCTGATGGCCTTTCAACACTGACTTTGGGTTTGCATCTCAGTCCTGTCTAATGGTTCACCCTTTGGTCCAGACTTGCTCTTTGGTCCTGGCTACTGGCTAGTCCACAGTTCCCAGCTCTTCAAACTGCTGCCCACTGTCCAGCCTTACCAAGTTTCCAAAAAGGCAGTGGCAGAAGAAGAAGGCAGGGACAAGTGTGGTTTCCTTCAGTTCTGAACACTGTAATGCAAAGATGCTGTTCTCATTAGGAGTGAGACTCCCTATGCACTTGGTCACTATGTTCAAGCCATGCTCTTACCTTCAGGTTCTCATTATGAATGCCAGAGTTGGAGATTGCTTGAAAACGGCAGTCCTTGTTGCTAATTTCTGTGGTTAGCTGCTGTATGATTTTCTGCACCTCGTCCACAATTTTGGACACCACTTGGTGCCTCTGGTCCACCTACAAACAAAACCAAACAGTACACTTGTGTCACATTGCTGCCAAGAATCTGAAATTGCATGCCACAGTTTAGCAAAATAGAACCATTGAACCAGCGGCCTTCTGGAATGTGTGCACGTGGGCTAGGCATATTCGGACCAAGACTGTTGGATGAGAAAACTGTAGATTTTAGTGTGTGTGTTTCAGAACTCAGACATTACATCTGACCTGGGCAGGTTACGCGTTCCTTTCTTTTATCCACTGGTTTGTCTTTTGTGACTGGCCAAACCCACCATGAAAACTATTTTGAAAATGGGCAAATCCTCATGGCAGCTATTTTGTGAAATTGCCTGGGACACTCTCAACATTCCAGATCTCCTCACTCCCCCAAAAAGTGTGGGGACCCTAAAACCACTTTATTTCTCTATTGGGTTTTGGTTGGTAAGCTGGTGCAGCTCTGCTTCCATTCATTCTGTTATATTTTCACCAAAAGATTCTCTGTGCCTTTTATATCCATATCCACACAGTTCAGAGTGTGCTGCTCCATCAGCTAGTTCACAGAAAGTTTAAAGAGGAGGCTTAGAGACAAGTCCCCCAGCCAACTAACTGAACACAAGAAAGAGGTGGGTTCTGAGCCACAAAAATGAAATATCTCATGCTTACCCTTACGAAAACACAACTAAATATCCATTTTGCAAAAAGCAAGCTGGTAATGCTCAGAGAAACACGCACAAACACAAAGAACCCCCCACCCAACACCCTTTTAAAGGAAAAATTAAGCAAAGCACACAAAACTGCAGCATGCCGGCTTCACAATTAATAACAACAAATACCGATCTGTAGAGAGACAGAGAAAGAGGTACGAAGCAGTAAAACAGCAAGCAATAACGCTGCTGTGGGGACCTGGTGCCCAGGGATACCCCACAGATACTCCGCCAGAGATGCAAGGTCTGGTGCAGCAGAGCCAGAGGGTACCAGTGGCCACCAGTAAGCACAAGACAACCCAGTCTCCTCAGTCCCCACGTACTCTCAGTCCCTTGGGAACAACTGGCCAAGGATCCTGCTGGGCTCTCTTGTGATGGGCCTCTTTGCAGGTCTCTTGTGCCCTTCAGGAAGCACAACTAGGCCACAGATCACCCACAAATTGCATGCAACTACTTACGAATCAGTGTCAGCATGAACAATAACTTGGCAAGCTCCTTTGTAAGCCTCCCCATTTTCAGTCCCAAAGCACACAGTCTAGGTTTTGGGAAAAAGCAGGGTAAGAGGTGTATTAGGGACCCAGGTGAGAGCCATAAAATGGGGGAAAGGCTGGTCAGTTTCAGAGAAAACAGCAGTAAGTGGTGTAAAACAACAGTTCAGTAGCAATTGCAAATAAGCAGAATATACAGTCCAAGGTAGCGCAGCCCTGCATTAAGCTGGTCACTTGGTTCTTTGAAGACCCTTGGACTCTGTGATGTGTGCCTGGTGCCCATGACAAGTCTTCCCTCTCTTTAGAAGACCTGCAATTGCACTGGAGAAAATGACTTGGGGCAATCTTCTCCGACTCTGCATCAAGCTTCATTGCCTCCTGGGAGAGTTACCTTTAGCACCCATACCGTGAGACAAAGACTCTGGACTTCTTTTCCCAGTGGAGTATATCTTGGTTGGTCCCTTCTCCACCCTTGTCTGGGGGAAGTTTCAGAAGAGTTCCTTGTATTTTTCCCATTGGCTGTCCAGTGACCACTCATCAGATTCTGAGATGGATTCCAGGACGTTCCTCATTGTTTAGGCACCTAAGCAGTTTGCTAGTCAACAGGTTTGCTAAGCAGAGGTGCTCAGCCCTTGAGATGACCTCAGTCAGGGCTTGTGTATTGCAATGCCCAGCATCCAGATGACCTGGCATTTAGCTTTAGGAATTATTTCGCTTGGCCAAGGGTAAGACAGAATCACTATGGTCTGGCTGAGTGGGCCACTCCAGGCCACTATAGGTCTCAGGACTTTCCCAAACACTCGTGATCAAACAATCATCTGCATGTTAGTTTTCTAACTTAAATGGAAAGTCCTGAGCAAAGCCATAAGTAGGGACAGTGGCACAATATCCACAATGTGCCAAACTTACAGCTTCCTTAGAAAAGTTAAGACGTAAATGACAAACAACTCTCCTCTGCATATTGAAAGTTTAAAGACTTGATTCAGAACAAGTGTGCCTGATAATATCAGTAATGTAACCAATATTCATTTGTTTGTGATTTTGCACAGCAAAGAATTATGTACGTCATGCAATTACAAATGTTGTGTCAATTCTACTCCAGATTAAGGGGGTCATGATCTTACCGGGACTCCAGCTTTCTTCTGCTTTTTGAACCTCCTCTTCTACTTGGCCCTGACTCAAGAAGTGAGCCAACCAGAAGTCCATGAAAGCTCACAGAAGCCAGAATGAACTACTGGAAACATTCTTCTGCAGCACATGCAGCAGACACAAAAGCCACAAGCCGTGTGTGTGGAACACTACTTGCACAGAGTTCCCACAGGACTCAGTTCCTGATGAGGGCTGTGCTCAGTGTGCTCACCAGGAAATCAGACTCATGGCCACGAGACAGTGGACCAAGTAGATTCCCGCCCCAAAATGAATTCCTCATACAACCCTCCTCCAGACACTCAGCTTCCACCTGGTGTATCCAGCTCTTTTACTCTGACCTCATTCTTCTCTTCTAAAGCTTAAAACTCAGTACACACAACTATCAACATATTCTTCACAATCAAGTGAAGAACTATACTTCAGCTTTCAGACCTAAAATTCATTAGCAAAGTTCATACTGTAGAACATGGTCTTAACTAATGCTGGGGAGAAGCCACTTTATTCAGAAATTAATGGAAGTTACATAGTAATTTGAAGAGAGGTTTCATGATATAGTCTTCCGCTCAACTTTCTCAGAATTGTTTTGCTTATTCTTAAGAATGTTTACCTGGGGATAAATTCCACTGAACCCAATGGCGCTTACTTCTGATTAGAAATGCACAGAATTGTACTGGTAACTTCTGATCCAGTACAATCCCACCCCCAGTCCACAACCTCTTCAGTAATGGGAGTGCTTTTGAATAAACCATTCAAGTAAAGCTTCCTCTCTTTGGAAGAGTGTTTAAAATTGCACCTCTAGAATAAAATGAACAGTTACAGGAGCAATCCATCACTCTGTAAAAGTGTGTCATTCTTTACAGATATTCAACAGGTGGTCCCCAGTGAGTGCCAAACGAAGCAACATTTTTTTATGGTGGCAGCCGTTTTGAAATTAAAATAGCACCTCAGAACAAGGCTTTCTGGGGAAAACAAAATGATAGCTACTTTGCTATTCTTTTCTCTAAAAGAATTTTGCCTCACTCTTGAAATACATTTCTAAGCTGATTTTGAGGTAGGTGAAACTGATGAAAAATAATGAACACCCTACTAGTCATATCCTGGAAGTAGGATCATCACTGCATAAGGCAATTATTGTTCTTGCTATACTTATTCATCACCAATGTCACAAGTCAAGAATGGATTACTCCCACAATGAAACTTGCTCTTGGACTGGATTAATTTATATTCTGCATTGTATTGTGACACATTTGCATTGCCTGATCAGCTGTAAAAACCAAATAAACAAAACAAAATGAAACAACAACAAAACCTATTTTTTTGTTCTTCTCTCACCCTCAAATATATACCTACCTTGTTAGATGACCATTTCATGCATCTGACAAAGTAGGCCCCAGCCTACTACT